GCCATGGCCCGAGCGGCCCCGCTCCGCCCGCCGCTCCTTTATAGCGCTCCGGAGGCCCCTCCACGCCTCCCGCCCGGCCCTTCGCCCACGGGACAGCCCTGGGGGGCAGAGCCCACAGCCTTTCCCCCGCCCAGGGAAGCGCCCGCAGAAGAGCAAACCTAGCATTAAGCAGCGAGAGTAAGTGCAGCCCTCATCCCAGCCCAGATCAAAAGGCTGCTCGCTCCTAAGGTTTGAGAGGGCAGATGGTCCCCAAAGGAAAGCAGCAAGTACAGGGGAAGTCACCCAGACTCAAATAAACGGAAAACAAAGCTCAGCAGTGATCAAGTGAAAACCCCACGGCAAAAAGGACTCTATTTGTAAACAGTTCCTTATTTCTGTGAGACTACCTTAACAGCTGCACAGTGCAATAAAGTTAAGAAGCACACGGAACAAACAAGCTGATTGCACATACATTCAAGTACTGCAGAACATGTGTTCTTGAAAATACAAGTCGAGATTGGCTTTGAAGATGTATTTTGGCTCCCTCTCTGCAACTTGTTTTGCTCCCAGTGTTGCAGATCCAAGGATCGTGCAATAAAGTATCTTACTGTTTCAAACAAGTGCAGACAGAGATTTTTTTCCCACCTGCACATCTTTGTACATCTGCCCTCTAGCTTTAGGGAAGGAGTGGCTGCTTTGAATTCCAAGCAATAAAAGTATCTAAGCCTCTTTGTCTATAGAGATTTCAGACAGAAATACCAAAGTTAGTAGAATAGTGTTGCTCTCTACATTTGCAGCCTTTTTGAGATACGGGTACTTTTCTGTTTATTCACTCATTCATTGCTGTTAACAGGAATTTTCAAGCCAATAGCTGAAATGTGCCATCTGCTGGACACACGTGGCCCTAAATAAGAAAATACACAGACTCTGAATTGAGTGGGCAGAGTTCAGTGTGGTTGGTCACCGAAGTACAGGGGTGCAGGTCTAAAGAATAACACTACAGGTTAGATCTCAGAGAGATTTGACACACTCTGCTCAGTAAGTGATCCAGCAAGCACAGACATGCACAGAAAACTGCAAACAAATATTCAGATGATATCTCTTCAAACCAGCTAAACCTAAGGCCCATTCAATATTGAAAGTATTTTCAAAAACTGGAGCAGCACTTCATCTCCTCAAACCAAGCTAGTAGTGGGTAAAGGATAAACAGAGGAGGAAGCACAGAGTATTTCAGATAGGACAGTTAAAAAGAGAAAAATGTTTATTTTTTTCATTCTTAAGTTACTTTTACAATAATATTACCGAACATAACCGATAACATTTTGTAGTGCATTTGTCAGTTTACTTTTGAACAGGGGCTTTGTCACATGCCCTTGATGATTGTCTTGCCTCCAAGTTCACTACAAAGAAGGAAGCTCTTTACAGGTTTCCTAACAGATGTAAGATGGTTCAGACATTCCTAGACCAAGCCAGAATTAGCATTTCATTTTACAGTGCTAAGACTAAAAGTGTAATTAATTATTAAAGCTTAATTCTATGTAACAAGTTGCACAAGACACAAAGTTCTTTGAAGTCATCCCATAAGAGAAGTACAACAGATATGCTGCAGTAAGACACTGAGCTCCAGATAATACTTCATCTCCCACTCACAACCATAAAAACACTTCAGCCATACATTCCCATTAAAAGTCCTACAGGCCCAATATCACTAGCTTTTAGTTCCAAATACTGGAAACAATTACATCAGGACTGTATCTAAAATGGGTACAGAGTAGAGCGCTAACCTGCTACTTCCTAGCCTGGTTTTGATTTTAAAAGGATGCTAGTCTGAGGATGTGTATAAATATGCATAAATATATATGTATCTACACAAAAGCACAAGAGGATGATCAAACCAAAGAGCTACTTAGCTCAGTCTGTTTCAGAAGGCTAAAACAATGAAAAAAGAGTATAGTTGAAGATAAGAACATGGAACTGCTCCAATAGACCCTTCACAACTTTAGTGGAAGAGTAAGTGGAAGTCAGACTTGGAATAAAATTAGCTTTATAGCTCTTTATAAAAGTTGTTTCCCCTCGTGCCAAATATAAAGTAGAAATAAAAGCCAATATTAAAAAGAAAAAAAAATTTGAGTGTACCTTGATGTAAAAGCTAAATCTCCAAAGCCATTCTGAGCAAGCTCAGTCTGACTCAAGATTTTCCAGGTTCACATAAATTAAAGCCAGAGCATTAGCAATCCTAGAAAGCAGTAACAAGTTTATTTTTCAGGCTAAGCATCTGGAATTAAAATGATCTTCACTGCTAATGCACACAAGATGAACATGTAAGTAGTTAGTGTACAATACCTCTTTTTTTATCACTTACATTGCACAGTATAAACCAAAGTGCTGGGGAGTGATGTACGTGTGTATTAAAAAAGGTAAAACTGCTGGACGGAAGTGGAAGAATCAGCAGGTACAAAGTGACTGCAGCTTGAGAGTGGAGCTTGTGTGCTCTGTGGCCAGTGCAGCAATCATTTATTCAGGGAGAAGAGCGAGACGTCCCGGAGGTTGCGCAGGCTGGCGCTGATGTCCCGCCTCTGCTTTAGGTTGCATCTGCCGGTGTACTGGGTCATGTAGCTCTCAGGCACACGGCCCCTCCGGGAGAGGATATCCACCATGTGGCTCAGCTTCGACCTGATAGTGGAGTAGTGGAATTGTCTCTCTTTATGCAGTTTTTGGAAATATTGTGCCCTGTGACTGCTGGAATATTCAAAGGACCGGAGAGATGACAGTGAGCCTGTTGAGCTTCCAAGAGAGCACTGGGACGATGATGAAGACAGTGATCGCAGACTAGAGTTTGGTACAGCATTTCCAGTCAGAGAATATTCTTCTTTTGCAAACTTTCTATGAAGTAGGGGTGTTTCTGTGCCTTCCTCTTCCTTTGTCTGTGTCACTGCAGTCTTCAGCAAAACTGACGTCTGAGTGCCCGTGGCTCTCGCAGTGACAGAAGCCTGAGTGCCAGTTTCTGCCATGGCAGCACTGGTCTGTGTGGCAGCATTACAGGTGTTCACAGCAGCTGTCTTGTCCCATGGGTCAGTTTGAGTCGATGAGCTTTTCCGTTCTGCCACGGTCACTTGATTGCTGAATGACTCCTCTTCACAGAGGCAAGAATGCCCCAGATTACAAGGTTTTCCTCCATGGCTATCTTCAGCCTGATCTAGTTCTTCCAACAATTTCTTTGGAGTGCTAGACATTCTGGCAAATTCTGCTCTCAGGTTGCCTTCCACAGTATATTTTTTAGAGGACTCTGGTCTGGTCACCAGGTGATCGAACATCCCACTGTTCCTGCAGCTGGATGGACCCTTAGGGCTGATGGGCAGCGACTGGGCATAAAGAATCCTGAATTGCAAGTCAAAGTGTTCAACCACTTGGCCTGACAACACCAGCAAGTTGCTGCTGTTCAGCTTCCCATCAGACCATGTGAAACTATTGAAAACAAACCAAGATTCACAGTTAATCTCCAGTTCATTTCAACACATACAGTTACAGAAAGCAAGACTCAGCTTCGAAATGCTGCCTGTAAGGAAGGTACAAAGTCGATAGACTATTCACTCCTTCTTCAGGAAGAACTCTATTTAGCCAAGTGCTTTGTTAAGAACAAGTTGTGTAAATCAGTTTTTCAAAGGTGTTTTCACCTTAGTCTCAGTCCCAGTTAGATTCAGCTAGTCCACATGCCCTCATTAACACCAGGCAAACAGCAAAGTTGATAAATCCTTCTTGTAGCAAATCCCCCTTTCTACAGCTTCATTGTGCACCAGCAGACCCCAATACTTGCCTGTATGAGCCTGTTGTCACTCTAATGCCATCAATTAACATGAACTTCTCCTTGGCTTTCCCAACAATTTTGGCACCTGACCTCAGGTAGTAAATGTTCCCTGTGAGAGTTCGAACTCTCATCAGCTGGTTCAGAAAAGAAAGAAAAAAGTAACATCAGATTTAAGTTAACTTCCAAAAATGTTTGATTAGCAATTCTACCTAAAATTCTATGCACACTATGGAAAATAGGAATTAGATTTCTTATACAGTCTGTATGTGAGTGCTATCAGTTACACAGTGCTAAATTTGTTAGATTAGCAGAGTCTGTAGAGAGAACAGCCGGTTCTCCAGGGAAGCTTGGAGTGCTTCCCTGTCCAGAGAAACTCTCACTGGAGGGAACATAAACCTGTCCAAGCCAAGCCATAACACAGCCATGTCAGCCTATATTCAGAGCAACTAGGTAAATCACCTGGCACATCATCCAAACATTTCTAAAAGACAGCAACTAGGTATTAGGAAAGAGATCAGATCATACCAGAGCTATACCACCCTTGAGTTTCCCATGTTTCTGTTTTCCTTAGCAAGCAGTTCCTTGAGCCAAAGACTAAGACTCTTTAAATATTGCAAAATTAAATGCTTGAAAATTGTTGCATCCTCAGGACAGGGATCACAGTCCACACACTCCACCCAGCTCACCAGGCTGGTGCATGACATGGCGGTAACTCCTACATACAGGCAGAACAGGGTGACAGATCTGCCTTTTCTGCATGGTTTTTGCTGAGTTTGTGAGCAGTTTCACACATGGGATTAGAGGCTGTACTGAAAACATGCAATATTGAGCCTTCATTTTCAGGAGCTGAGAAACAGTTCAGAAAATCCCCTTTTAGTTATCAAATAGACAAGGTGTTTTAGCCTCTCAAGGAAGTCTGATGCTTTGTAGAAGGGTTTCTTTAATATGCATAAACTGTACCACAAAAAAATAAAAACAAACCACGCCCCCCCCACCTTCAGTACTTACACTTTCCTGCTCAGGACAAACTCCTAAATTGTTGCACATTTCCAAGAAGTGGGGTAGAAATTCCTGGTCGAGGAGGATATAGACAGGGACTTTGTGGTTGTTACAAGCATCCTGCAGGTCACTGAAGATATCAATATCTGTGAAGGAATCCATCACGACAGCAATCACCTGTGAGAAGAGTGACAACACTTAGTCAAGGGATTTATTTTACACAAGGTCAGGTCACTGCCTCCCCCAGCCATTTTCTCCTGCTGCTATCACCAGGGTGACATGCGCATTTCTCTGTCCTTGGCAAGTTATAAAAGAATCCTATATTCCCACAATGTTTGTGTAAATTCAGTGTGTCCCAGAATGCAAAGGATAAGCCTGAAGAGGATTTTCCTCATGACAGCTTTTGTACATTTTAACATCCTCCCTTCCTACACAGTTCCTTGTAATCTGGCTATTTGGTTACATTGGGAAAACTATCACATTAGAATGAGGAATTCAGACAAGATATTTCCACACTTGTTTCCCCAGTGTTTCAAACAGCTACAGGAGAATTAGCTCCAATGGCCTCCTCACTGTCACAGCTGAATGTCTCACAAACCCTGACTGATTTCCAGACTCTTACTAGTCTGTAGACTCTTACTGAGATTCCGTCGTATATCTTCACAAGAAATCCTTCCACCCAACAGTTCTTTAAAGAAGGTAAATCCTAAAACAGGAGGATTACATTTATGAAGAATTTCTCCAGCTAATTCAGAGCCATATCATACACTGTTTTGGTGCTAGAATTCTCACTCTTCAAAACTACATCTAGGTAAGGACACAAAGGATTTAGCTTCATGACTGACTTTTCTATTCTCCTTCTATTAGACCAGTATCAAGGACAATAATTATACAACCTCTGCAGGCACCTGGCACCTGCCCTTATCAGAGAGATGATGAATCCATGCACTGCTGCAACACACCCAAGGTGTATATGCACGAAACACAGCTGCTCTGTGTGTGGCATTGCCTGTACTCAAGGAAACATTTCCCACAGGAACAGGCTAAGGTTTGCATTCCCACCTCTGTCCTCCTGATCCCTAAGGGATTGGCTCCATTTGGTTGAGTTCTTAGCTGTAACACACACATGCACATGGGTATTTCTAGATAAAGTTACTTTATGCTTGTGCCTCTTGCGTGTCTCCCGTGCTTCTCTCCACACAATCACTTGTCTAAGCACTAAAGAAAAATAAATTTAAAAAAAAAAAAAGATGCTTTTGACAAGACCAGACAGGTAAGAAAGCAACCCCTGAAAGCAAAACAATTCACACTAAACCCTTGGGAACACTGATGCCTTCATGTGACTAATTAATTCACAGCACATTTGAGTTCTAATCCCAGCATTAGCAGCTGAGAAAGAAATAGTTTTACTGCAAATGTTTAGAGGAAAGAGAAACCCCTTTTCTCATCCATTCAGGATAGCAAAGGCAAGACAGCAGCTGTGTCCCCTTCAGTCACTTAGCTAACTACATTTGAGTGAGCTGGGAAGGAACTACACAGCATCTGTAGTTTCCCCATTCTTCACATTAACTTGAAGAACTCCGAGATGATTGAGCAGTATCACACAGCATCTGATATTCAGTAAATTTTAGGGTGTCAAAAATTTCTCTCATGTCCACATAAACGCTCCCTGGATCAGGCACATACACAGCTGGGGCAGGAGCAGCTTGCCTGGCTCTCAGCTCAGTGCAAAGGAAGGTGCTTCACAGGATGCTGTAAACAACGATATTACAAACAAGTATGGCTTTTTAGAAAAACAAATATGGAGTTTATTTGAGTCTCAGTACCATTAGGCTGGTCTCATCTACCTCATAAGGATCGTTTGAGAACAAAGCTTTCTCTGTGACCGTTTCTGGCAATGAGCCCATCGGTCATGTCATCCTTACACACCCTCTAAGCCTCTGTCCTCGGAAGGGACCAGGGTATAAGCTCAGTTGCTGACTGAAGGTGTGCGTGTGCGAGCACGTCACACACAGACAGGGCCACCCAAAGAGGAAGCTACACATTTAAATTTTAGCTAAGCCAATTGAATAGCTGCTAAGGGGAAGTGTGGTTCCCTCCTGGGGATGATTGGAGGCTAGAAACTCAGGGGGTGTAATGAGTTACAGAAAACAGAAGTGACCATGCCCCATGTTTTTTAAGCCATACTCTGCATCAGAACAAAAGCATCCACTTCTGTAGGAGGAAAGTCCTGCTAAGGGCAGGTCTGCACATCACCTGGGGACAATTAATGAGCTAAAGAAAAGAAATATAAACATAGCGTTATCTCTGTAGATAATCTTCTTTTATAAGGGAAGCCTTTTCTGTCATACCCTTTGGGGGACAGTGAGAGATTTCTGTGAGTGAATCTGTCTGGCAGAGCCCATCAGTAATGAACCTGGAATAGGAAACCTTCCACTCCGAGTGAGTGCGGGATCAGCTGGATACGGCGGGTGTTTACCCATGGCAGCCGCGCGGCCCTGGGGAACGGGGAGCTCTTGGCCCATCCCCT